CCATAACATGAGATCTACCCCACGAACAAATTTTTTTAATTTTTTAAAATGTTTTATTTATTTTTGAGAGAGAGAGACACAGCATGAGCAGGGGAGGGGCAGAGAGAGAGGGAATCCGAAGCAGGCTCCAGGCTCTGAGCTGTCAGCACAAAGCCTGACGCAGGGCTCCAACTCATGAACCATGAGATCATGACGTGAGCCAAAGTTGGACACTTAATCACCCAGGGGCCCCAACTTCACGAACAAAATTTTAAGTGTACAATAAAGTAAACTCTAAGCACAATGTTGTACAGCAGGTCACTAGAACTTTTTCATCTTACATGACTGAAACCTACACCCAGTAAACAACAACAACCCATTGCCTCTGCCTCACCAGGCCCTGGCAACTACCGTTCTACTTTCTAAGAGTTTTCACTATCTTAGATATATCATGTAAGTGGAATCACGCATTATTTGTTGTTCAGTGACTGGCTTATTTCAATCAAAAGGATGTTCTCCAGGTTCATTCATGTTTGTAGTATGTGACAGACTCTGTCATCTTCTGTACGGCTGGATAGCGTTCCATATATATAACTTGTTTCCACTTCTTGGCTATTGTGAATAATGTTGCAGTGAACATGGAGGTGCAAATGTCTCCTTAAGATCTGGATTTCAATTCTTTTGGGATAAATACCTATCCAATAAATATGGATCATATGCAAATTCCATTTTTAATTTTTTGAGGAAACCCCGTACCATTTTCTACAACAGCTACACCATTTTACATTCCCACCAATAGGACACAGAGGTTACAATTTCTGTACACCCTCAACAACACTTGCTATCTTTTTGGTTTTTTGTTTGTTTAATATTTATTTATTTATTTTATTTTTTAACGTTTACTTATTTATTTATTTATTTAGAGAGAGAGAAAGAGCATGCACATGTGTAAGTAGGGGAGGGGCAAAAAGAGAGGAAGAGAGAGAATTCCAAGCAGACTCCACATAGAGCCCGATGTGGGGCTCCATCTCATGAACCATGAGATCCTGACCTGAGCCCAAATCAAGAGCTGGACTCATAACTGACTGAGCCACCCAGGTGCTCCTGTTTGTTATTTATTATGGCCATCCTGATTGGTGTGAGGTGATATCTTACTGTGAATTTGCATTTCCCTGATGATTATTGTTGTTGAGCATCTTTTCAAATACCTGCTGGCCATTTGTATGTCTTCTTTGGGAACATGACTATTCAAGTCATCTGTCCATTTTTTAATCAGATTATTTGTCTTTTTGCTACTGAGTTCAAAATTTCATTATATGTTTTGAAAATTAACCCCTTATCAGATATATGGTTTGAAAATATTTTCTCCCATTCTGATTGTTCTTCACTCTGTTGATTGTTTCCTTTGCTATGCAGGATTTTTTTAGTTGTATGTAGTCTCACTTGTCTATTTTTGCATTTGTTTGTATTTTTCAGTGTTATATCCAAGAAATCATTGCCAAGAACAAAATCATGAAGTTTTTCTTTATGTTTTCTCCTAGGGGTTTTATAGTTTCAGATATTACATATAAGTCTTTTATCTATTTTGAGTTAATTTTTCTGTGTGGTGTAAGATAAAGGTCCAATTTTATTCTTCTTCAGGTGGATATTGTTTTCCCAAAACCATTTGCTGAAAGAGTATTCTTTCCCCATTGTGAATTCTTGGCAACCTTTGCAAAGATCACTTGATCATACATAAACAGGTTTATCTCTGGGTTCCCTATTCTGTTCCATCTATATATCTCTCTTTACTCCAGTACTATATTGGTTTGATTACTCTAGCTTTGAAACCATAAGTGTAATGTCTCCATCTTTGTTCTTCTTTCTCAAGATTGGCTATTTCGGGTTCTCTGTGGTTCTGAGTGAATATTAAGATCGTACTTCTATTTCTGTAAAAACTGCTATTAGAATTTTGATGGAAACTGCATTGAATCTGTAGATTACTTTGGGTAGTAATGACATTTTAACAACATGAAATCTTCTTATCAATGAACATGAGATGTCTTTTCATTTGTGTCTTCTTTAATTTCTCTCAGCAATGTTTTGAGGTTTTCAGTGCATAAGTCTTTTGCCTCCTTGGTTATGTTTATTCTTAAGTATTTTACTCTTTTTGATGGTATTGTAAATGAGATTATTTTCTTAATTTCCTTTTCAGAGTGTTATTATTATTTACACATGCAACTGATGTTTGTATGTTTGTTTTCTATTCTGCAATGTTGCCACACTTGTTGATTAGTCATAACAGGATTTTTGTGGAATATTTAGGATTTTCTACATATAAGATTCTATCACCTGTGAAGCAATTATTTTACTTCTTCCTTTCCAATTTGGATGCCTTTTATTTTTTTCTTCCCTAATTTCTCTGGCTAGTACTTCCAGTACTATGGTGGTTGTAGTACTTCACCACTAAAAGTGGTGAGAGGAAAAGATTTCTGTTTTTTATGTGGGGTATGATATTAGCTGTAGGCTTTACATACATGGCTTTTATTATGCTGAGGTCATTTCTTTCTACTCCTAGTTTGTTGAGTGTTGTTTTGAGTTTTTTTAATCATGAAAGGGTGTTGAATTTTATCAAATGCTTTTTGTTCATCTATTGGGATGATCATATGATTTTTATTCTTCATTTATTAATGTGGTGTGCCATATTGATGATGTCCTTTGTTGAACCTTCTTGGCAATCCAGGGATATATCTTACTTGGTCATGATGTATGATCTTTTAGTGAACTACTGAACTTTGTTTGCTAGCATTTAGTTAAAGATTTTTATATATATGTTCATTAGGCATATTGGCCTGTTTTTTCTTGTAGTATCTTTTTCTGGTTTTGGTATATGGGTAAGGTAGGTTTCATAAAATGAGTTTGTATGTATTTTGTCCTCTTCAGTTTTGGGGGGTGGGGAAAGCTTAATAAGCATTGGCATTCATTCTTCTTTAAATGTTTGAAAGAATTTACCACGGAAACCATCTGGTCCTGGGCTTTTTTTTTTTTAATGAACAGTTTTTGATTAGTGATTCGGTCTCCTTACTAGTAATTCATCTGTTCAGATTTTCTATTTCTTCATGAATAAATCTTGGTAGGTTGCATATTTTTTAGGAATTTATCCTTTTCTTCTGGGTTATCCAATTTGTTGGCATATAATTGTTCTTAATAATCTCTTATAATCATTTAATCTCTATGGCATCAGTTGTAATGTCTCCTCTTTCATTTCTGACTTTATTTATTTGCGTCTTCTCTCTTCTTAGCCAACCTAGCTAAAGGTTTGTCAGTTTTGTTCATCTTTTCAAAACACCAACTTGTAGTTTTGTGGATTTTTCCTATTATTTTTCTATTCTCTTTCATTTATTTCTGCTCTAATCTGAATTAATTTCCTTTCTTCTGCTACTTTTGGGTTTAGTTTGTTCTTTTTGTAGTTCCTTGAGGTGTTAGAATGTTTATTAGAAAGCTTTCTTTTTTTTTTTTCAGTGTAGGCATTTATCACCATCAACTTTCTTCCTATTGCTTTCACTGTGTTTCGTAGATCCAGTGTGTTTTTCATTTCCATTTGTTTTCAAATATTTTCTAATTTCCCTTTAATTTTTTCTTTGACACTGGCTGTTCAATAGTGTATTAATTCTGCATATTTGTGAATTTTCCAGTTCTCTTTCTGCCATTAACTTCTAGTTTCATTCCAGTGTGATCAGAAAAGATACTTGGTATAATGCATTCTTCTTTAATTTCCTAATGCTTGTTTTGTGACCTAACATGTGATCCATCTTAGTATTTGTGATCTAACAGGTGAATGTTCTGAGCATGCTTGAAAAGAATGTGTATTCTGCTGCTGTTGGGAGGAATGCTCTGCATATGTCTCTTAGGTCCATTTGGTCTATAGCGTTGTTCAAGTACTTCTGACTGCAGGTTCTATCTATTGTCAAAAGTGGGGCACTGAAATCTCCCACTATTATTGTATTACTCTTTCTCCCTTCAGTTCTGTCAACGTTTGTATCATATATTTGGGTACTCTGATGTTGAGTGCATATACATTTATAATTGTCATATCTTTCTGGTGAATTGATCTCTGCTCAGGTCATGATCTTGGCGTTCGTGAGTTTGAGCCCCACATCAGGCTCTGTGATTACAGCTCAGAGCCTGGAGCCTGCTTTGAATTCTGTGTCTCCTTCTCTCTCTGCCCCTCCCCCACTCTCTCTTTCTCTCTCTCTCTCTCTCAAAAATGAATACGCATTTTAAAAATGCAAAAAATAAAATAAAGTGAGTCTCTTCTAGACAGCATAGAGTTGGATCTTGCTTTATATCCATTCAGCTAGTCTATATTTTTTGACTGGGGAGCTTAATCCATTTACATTTAAACTAATTATTAATAAGGAAGGACTATTACCATTTTGTTAACTGTCTTTTGCCCAGGATTGTTTCTGTCTACCGGCATCCTCTGCCCAGCCATACATCTTTTATCGACTTAATATCATTCCTCTGCTCTGTCTGTTCCTGTGTTTCCTTTCCTATTCTCCAAATGTACCCCTTTAAAAAATTTTCTGTCCTTCAAGGTTCACCTTACATGTCAGACCCTGCAAGAAGCCTTTTCAGTTTGCCTCAAAGACAGTATTCCTCTATGCTGAGAAATACCATAATACTTTGGTTGAACCATTCTTATGTCATTCACACTTGTGTTATAATTATTTAAGTATCTGTTTTATGAAATTATAAGCGCCCTGAGAGCAAGGACAATGTATGTAACACTGAGCAACAGTCAACTGTGAATCTTTGTACTTCCATGTAGTAGGTATTCATTTAATTCACTAGATTGAACTGAGAAGAGTAGAAAGAGCTATCCTCTACCTGAACCTCCAGGGTGGCTCCCTCTCAAACCCCTCCACTGGCCTCTAGTTAACACTTCCTGCTCCAGCTGGAGCAGTTCAAGAAAAAGGAAACCCTTAGCCTTATCATGCTTCAATATCAGGTTTGGGACCGATCATTCAGAGTAACCTTAGTTACAACAACCTGTGAAAAACATAAGAGGTCAATGATACCTTGCCTTCAGGATCCACCAGGAGAAGATGCTTTGCCTGGCCTCCCTGAAGTCCACTTAGCACATACTGACCAGGAGATGTTGCACTTTCTCGAACCAAAAAGTCCCCATCCTTTACCAAGAGGCTCTCTGCTGCCTTCCTGCTCAGCTTGCCATGGTAGCAGTCTTCATTCCGCAGCTGCTGCTTAATGTGTGGCAAAGAATGTGAGCTGGCAGGCTGGGCCGTGGCACCTGGCTGAACAGTTTCTGGTGCTTCTACAGTCAAAACACAAAGAGAGGCATCACCAAGCTACCTCCTCCTTCATTCATTCATTCATTCATTCATTCATTCAGCAAATATAACCTGAGGCCCTACTGTGTGTCATGCACTGTTTAAATAATGCTGCTTCTAGAACAAATGGAGTTTTTGTTTCTAGAACTTCCCACAGGCTTTAATTTAATGGTAGGACCAAACATTGCCTTTGGCTTCTGTTGGCAGGAAAGACTTGACCAGGTGCAGGAGTTTTCCTTTCAGATGAGAAATGGGACTGACCTGTGAGAATTGCTTTCATAACTGCAGAGAGAGGCACTCTATGTCCCAGGGGCTGTATATTAAAGAAAAAAGAGGCTTACGCAGTACCTGGATCAAAGATAACTTTGAACACATTCCCAAACTCTTTGAAAATGCCTACAGTAACTTTGGATTATGCCCACTTTTTAGTATTTAGCTTTTTATTTTTTAAACCAAATTACTAATGTGCTTCAGAGATACCTCTGACAAAAACTTCAAAGCTATGCTGAACCTCACAGCATTCCTATTAAATGACCACTCTGGTGTTTGTGTCACTCACCTGCGTGGATAAAGCACAGTTAATCAGGTAAAATAAGGCAAAGCATCAAGGAGGCCATGGTCTGATGCAGTTCCCCAATGTTCTGCAGAACAAATACTCTCTAGAGTTGAGGGCAGAGGGGATGAAAAGGTATATCCGGGTGGCATGTAATAGTGTTTTGATACTCATGGTAATAATAATTATTATGCAGTCCTCATTTATCATATATGATAGGCAGCGCTCAGTGCTCTACACATATCTTGTTCGGTTCTCAAAACTAGACAGGCAAGGAAATGGATCTTTAAAAAGACCACATGAATTACTCAAAGTCACATTGCTAATATGTTGTAAATCTGGGGTTTGAAATGACATCTATTTGACTCCAAAGCCCAGGTTCTTAATCACCACAGTCTAAAACCCTTGCCTTAAAAGTGAAAATCTTTCCATTATCAAAAGTGGTCTAGCCAACTCTACTTCTGCAGTACCTACAATGGTCCCAAGTAAAGAGCAAGCCTGGGGTGCCTGGATGACTCAGCCAGTTAAGCATCTGACTTCAGCTTAGGTCATGATCTCATGGTTTGTGGGTTTGAGCCCCCCATCGGACTCTGCTGACAGCTCAGAGTCTGGAGCCTGCTTCAGATTCTGTGTCTTCCTTGCTCTGCCCTTCCCCTGCTCACACTGTCTCTCTGTCTTTCTCAAAAATAAATAAACATTAAAAAAAATACCAAGGCTATCAGGATGATATACAGCATCTCCAGAAGTAATAAAAATTCTTAGGTCTGAATCCAGGTAAAAGTTGTATGGTTTACATGGCAAATTTACTAGGAAAATAACTGCAGAAATCAGACTTTGTCTATTTAAATGCAAAGGATCTTTTGCATAGAAGCCACACTTCATCTTTATAAATGCAGAAGTGTGTTTCCATGTCCTTATGCAAGGGTCTTGCAAATGAGAAATCCTCTTAACTCTAAGTTCTACAACTTACACGTGACAATCTCATGAAGTCATTGATATAGGCAACCAGTCCCTGCAGACATAACCCAATTCTCCTGTTAATATGTTATAGTTTTGTCGCTACTTAAGAACTCCTCTCTGCATAGCACGATTATGATGCAGCATTCACAAATGTGTCTTTTTGAAAATATCTTGAGTCTGTATTTAATGGCTGAAAATATTCTCCTCCACAATCAGGTCTATCCACTGTTGCCAGAAAAAGGCTGAAAAAACGTGTCCAGATTTGATAAATAATAAATGAAGTTGGCCTTAGTGCTGCTTGCTTTGAGGCATAATAGAGAACTCTGATAAGTAGTTGCATGTGTGTTTGTGTATGTGAGAGGGAAAGTGTTTGTGTGAGTGGAAGAGAGATACATGCATGCGTGTGTGGGGGCACACATCTTAATGCACGATGGCTTTCAGTTTATTCTGAGATAAGGGTGGAGAGCTTTTGGACAAGGACAAAACAAAAGAAAAACAGACATGATATCATCTTGAAAAGAGGCAACAGATCATGGGCCAGCCTGAGGATATGGACAATATTTTCCTAACACAGTTTCCCAGATTAGCACCAGAATAGCACACACTGTGCTGGGACATTTCAATCATCTAAAAATTTGCTGAAAATCTACTTTTCCTAAAACTAGAATATCTGAAAGATTTTTTTTAATTTGTTTTAATTTTAAAAGTTGTGCATGCTACTTGTTTTTAAAATCTGGGAAACACAGAGAAACAAAGAAAAATAATCACCTGTGGTCCCATCACCAAATACAACTACTCTTTAACATTGTGGCACATTACCTATTAGCAACTCCTTTCTCACATAATGTTGACTTTGAGAAAGATACTCATAATTTAAATCTAGTTATTTACATAAAATTCCCATAGAAAATTTAGTAAGTTATTGACTTGATATAATTAATAACATATTTTCTCAGAAGTAGTGAAGATCAAGGATGCAACATGATTACGGCCACTCTACATTTAAGTGAGACCTGGGGCGCCTGGGTGGTGCAGTCGGTTAAGTGTCCGACTTCAACCAGGTCACGATCTCACGGTCCGTGAGTTCGAGCCCCGCGTCGGGCTCTGGGCTGATGGCTCAGAGCCTGGAGCCTGTTTCTGATTCTGTGTCTCCCTCTCTCTCTGCCCCTCGCCCGTTCATGCTCTGTCTCTCTCTGTCCCAAAAATAAATAAACATTGAAAAAAAAAAATTTAATAAAAAAAAAAAAAAAGTGAGACCTAAAAAGAAAAAAGTGATAGGAATCATAGAAGAAAGCAATCATGTCATCTTGCAGTTCCCATAGCAACTGAAAACATATTTTTCACAATCAGAAATTTGGGAAAGCCCAAGACAGATATGAATATCCACACCCATAAGTATCTGATGGGCAAAACCTCAGACAGGGAGCTTAGGGCTTAAGGAAGAGAAAAATATCTGACAAGCAAAATCAAATTAAACAATTGCATGTAATCCCAGTGATAAAGAATAAGACATTTAAAGAAACCAATGTGAACTGTGAAGACAGCATACTGATGCATTCAATTTTTAAGTAGCACATGTGACTGGGTATTTCGGGGTAGAAATGATTATTATATTAACAAAGGGCTGAAAAAATAGATGTCCATCAATAAGGGGATGATTATATAAACTATGATATACTCATATAATACAATACTATAAAACAATTGAAAATAACAAAGATTTGTTCATCCAACATAGGAGGACATAAATATGTAAAGCAAATATTAACAGACTTGAAGGGAGAAATAGACAGCAATACAGTAGTGGTAGGGGACTTCAATACCCATTTTCAACAATAGATAGATCATCCAGATCGAAAATCAGTAAGGAAACTTTCGACAAAGTACACATTAGACCAGATTGACTCAACAGACAGTGACAGAACATTTCACCCAAAAGCAATAGACTATATACATTCTTCTCCAGTGGACATGGGACATTCTCCAGGATAGATCATATGTTAGGCCACAAATAAGTCATAATACATTTTTTAAAAATGAAATCATATCAAGCATCTTTTCTGACCACACTGATATGAGAAATCAATTACAAGAAAACTAGGTAATTCACAAATATGTGGAGATTAAACAGCATGTCACTAAACAACAAACGGGTCAAAGAATAAATAAAAAAGTAAATCATAAAATATCCTGAGACAAATGAAAATGAAAAAAACCTATGAGATCCTAGCAGAGGCAGTTTTAAGAGGGAAGTTCATAGCAATTAATACCTCCATTAAGAAAACAGGGGTACCTGCGTGCTCAGTCAATTAAGCACAGAATTCTTGATTTGGGCTCAGGTCATGACCTCACAGGTTCCTGAGATTGAGCCCCAAGTCTGGCTCTGTGCAGACAATGCGAAGCCTGCTTAGGATTCTCTCTTTCTTCTCTCTCCCTCTCTCTCTGCCCTCCCCTGCCACTTGCGTGCATGCACATGTGCTCTCTCTCTCTTTCTCTTTCTCTTAAAATAAATAAACTTAAAGGGGTGCCTGGGTGACCCAGTTGGTTAAGTGTCCGACTCTTGATTTCAGCCCAGGTCATGATCTCACAGTTCATGAGTTTGAGCCCCAAGTTGGACTCCGCACTGACAGTGTGGAGCCTGCTCAGGATTCTCTCTCTTCCTCTCTCTCTCTCTGCCCATCCCCTACTTGCACATACTCTCTCTCAAAATAAACTTAAAAAAAATTAGATAGTATCAATACTAGTAATTCCCTTCTGCCAAGTTTGGTGAAAATAAAGATTGTGTTGAGCTTTTCCTACACAGTGTGATAGGATTAATTGGGGAGCCCAGAAGGCATGCTTGGGAGATACTACACTCATGCCTCAAGATTTGTTTTTGTTTGTTTTATTTTGTTTTACTGAACTAATCAGTAAGCTTTTGACTGGAAAAGGGAAGCTAAGTATGCCTAAGTAAGGAAAGAAATATCAGGAAACATTAAGGAGGAAAGGTTAAAAAGTATATTTCAGATATTTTGCAGAAATTTATGTATAAGGTTATCCCTACTCTATCTTATTTCATTTTATTAAATCAACATTATTTATACTTTTAGAGTTGGAATTAATTTTTTTGGAGAGAAAAATTGCATCAGGGGGGCCAGGAGGGCTATGGTACACTATATCCTAATAGGAAATAAAGACTGAAGAAGTACCTGAAGCCTTTATTTAAACATGTTCCCTCCAGGTCCGGGAGAGGCAAAAGGATGACAAAAAGGCTGAAATCAGTAAAAATGCATTTTGACATTAAAATTTTGGACAAAGCTGGCCTTATTTACTTTCAACTAATGACAGGAATGTTAATATACATTGATTTTACTTTTTCATATTATTGAGTTGTCCATGACAAAAGACAAAGGTTCTTTGTTTACATTATAAAGATTTTTTCCTGCTATGCTGTGCCTTTTATTCCCATGATGTATTCATTCCATAACTGGAAGCCTGTTTCTCCCACTCCCTTTCACCCATTTTGCCCAACTCTCTTCTCACATCCCCTCTGGCAACCATCAGTTTGCTCTCTGTATTTATAGGTCTGATTCTGCTTTTTGTTTCTTTATTCATTTCCTTTCCTTATAGAGCCCACATATGAGTGAAATCATATAGTGCTTGTCTTTTTCAGTCTGACTTATTTCTGACTTAGCATAATACCCTCTAGGTCTGTCCATGTTGTTGCAAATGGCATGATCTCATCCTTTTTTATGGCTGAAAAACATTCCATTACACCACACACACACACACACACACACACACACACACACACCTCTTTATCCATTCCTTTATTGAAGGACACTAAGTTGCTTCCATATCTTGACTGAGTTATAAAGATTTTTAACATTAAAGATTTGCTTATAAGGGAACTGCAGTTATGAGTCAATGAATATCCCAGATCCCCTAACTCAGGCCACCCACTAAGTGAGTTTTCTTTTTTTTTTTTAAGTTTCTTTATTTTGAGCCTCAAAAAATTAAAAATAGATCTACCCTATGACCCAGCAATA